TTTCAGCCAGCTCTGCCCGCGAAGTTGAACAGCGTTGATTGTGGGGCCCACGTTGACTACGTCAAGATGATTCAGAGTGGTGCGCAGATACGCGCCGAGTGCAAGTGGGGCAGGTTGCGCCGCCCGCAGCTACCCGCGCGCGCTCAGGCACTGTCTCAGACACGGGGGCCCCCCAGTTTTGTCACCCGCAGGGCCGCCAGTATTCTTGGGGGGGGGGGCAGGCGATGGGGGGGGCAGTGGAGCAGGGGGCCCGGGGCGGGGGGGGGTCAGGGAGAGGGAAATTCGAGCATGGAACATTACAGGCACCGCTGGCCGTTCACGGGCTTCCAGACAGTATGCGCCCGGGGATTTCCTCGGCGCGAGGGCTTTCAGGGGTCGCGCGCCGCGAGGCCGCCTGCGTCGCGCATTTGGAAGACCCAGCGCCCGGCGCTCAGATCCCGCGCCCGCCAGCGAACGCAGCGACATGCCATCGCCAGCGCCGCCGCGAGCATTCGCCCAGCAGAGAAGGCACACAGTACAGTGTACCCCTTGGGGTTCTTGAGATCACGTGGGTTTCTGCTGGTTTCGCCGGGCTCTGGGAAAACAATGGATCGTTGCGTTATTTGTAGATTCTTGGGGTTATTCGGGTTTCTACGGGGCTTGGGATTCTTGGCGCTTTGCGAGGAGATGTTTTGGGGTCTTGGGGGAGTTATCCGGAGTCTCGGGGCTCCGTAGATTTGTCGGCGCGTCTTAGGATTATTGGGATTGCTCGGGGCGTTATGGGACTGCGTGAAATCATTGTGTTTCTCTAGGTTCTCGTTCGAACAAACGTGGATTCTTTTGGTTTTTCGTTCCGAAGCGCCCCGGGATTATCGGGGCGTCTCGGGCTGATTATTGAGATTTCTCTGCGCGCATGGGCGTTCTCTGGATTGCTCGGGGCGTCTCGGGGCCCCATCGGAATTCGCTCCTTCCATGGGATGTTCGGCGGTTCCTCGGGGCCCCGTCCGCCGCCGCCCGCGCCGCCTCTCGCGCCGCGCCGAGCTCCGGCAGTCAGAGCAGCGCGCAGCGGGGCCCGCTCCCCGTTCCAGCGCCTCAGGCCCGGGACCGAACGCAAGGGCCCGCGCCCTCAGACGTCGAGCTCAGGGCCCGCGCGCGCCCAGTCCGCGCAGGGCCCGCCAGACACGCAGGGCGGCCTGGCGCCTCTCAGCACCCCGCGGCCCGCCTCGCAATTCAGCGCGCCGTGGCCCCCATGAGCTCGCAGTGCTGAGGCGGCGGTCAAGACCGCTCAGCCCGACGCCCCGGGGCGCGAGGCGAACTGGGCCTGGAGGAGCAGAGTCGCCGCAGCGAGGGCGCCCGGGCGGCGGAAGGGCACCATGACTATCAGGAGCCGTCGTCGTCAGGAGCAGCGCGCCCGAGAACGCCGGGCCCAGCATGCCGCGGCCTGAGCAGGCGCGCGCGGGAGAGCGCGGCGCGGGAGTGGCGGCGTCAGATCACGCGCGCGCTGAACGACGAGGCCAGCTCACTGCGAGCTCAGTTCAGCTCGCGCTGCTACTTCTCAGCGGGCAACCCACTGAGTGGCCACTTGCTTTTCCGAACACTCTTTGGGAGACTTCAGCGCTATCAGCCCGTCTCCAGCACGTCGCAGGAACAGCGAATTATCACTGCCACTGTCAATCGCCTCTAGTCATAGACGTCGGTCGCGGGGGACGGGGAATGTGATTTACGCGCGCGGCTTGGCGCGGCGCCAACGATATCGCTATGCTAAATCCGGCCCCCCCCCCCCCCCCCCCCCGAATTATGCCTTTTCGTTTCGGTGCTAACGATCACCCATGGGGCTTCTTAATTGCTTCGCATGATGCTTCGCACGATAAGCCTATCGCCGATCCATCGGCGACGCATCGCCGACTCCAGGTCGACGTTTCCCCCCCCCTTCGGAGCTGATGCCCGGCTGTCGTCCCAGACATGCAGCGTCTTGATGTTTTCCGCACGGGGCCCCCAGAAGTCCTGACCCATTTCTTCGGACCGGCTCTTCATCCTGAGTCGTTGTTTGGCGGCCCCATGGCCCGGCGCGGGCCCCGACGGGCAAAAAACTACGAAAAACCTTTCGTCTTGACTTTCGCACGACGCGAACATGTCTGGGGTTGCCCCTCACAGCAGCAGCCGAGCCGGCGGCCCACACCCGGGGAGCCTTGGCTTACGCCGCGCACGCTAGCGGCGACGCAGCACCGGGGCGCTGCCGCGGCGCACGCCCCTCGGCCCTGTCGCTGGTCAGAGGAGCCATCGCCGCGGCAGCCGCGAAGCGGGCCTCGCGCGGGCGCCGCCCAGTGGCGGTTGCCGCCTTCGCTGCGGCGGCGTGGCCGCGCCGGACCAGGCTTCGAGTAGGAGATCGAATACAGAAACGAGCACCCACACAATTCATTTGTTGGGGGTGAATCGATTCGTTCTGTAGTTGGCAGTCGGTTTCCTGCATTCAATCGGGGGAGCGTAAGACCCGGGTTTGCCAGGACTCGGGTTCGCCATCGTTTTTTGACGACCACGCCTCGGATTTTGACGAGGACGAGTTTCGTGGGATGTCTGCAGCGGGAGGCCTCGTCAAAATGCAGGCTCGGCCTCGTCATTTTTTTGACGACCTCGTCGGGGATTTCCGAATCCCCCGTACCCGGGTCTTACGTCTCCCCGACTCAAGGCGCTGAACTGAGGGCCGCTGCGAGCTCAGGAGGGGTTTGGGGTGCTCGGGCCGTTCCTGGGCTCTGCGCGGTGGGGCCTGCCTGCGGCCTGAGCCCGCCGTGGCCAGAGGAGCCCCCTTCGCCCCTTGTTCCCAAATCCCCGACGTTGTGATTTTTGTGGAGGGCGTGTCCCCCTACATCAAGGGCATAAAAAACGCCCCTACCCTGGTTTACGAGGCGCTGTGCGCTGAAACTCCTGTGGGCTGACAGGGTAAAACCTGCGTGATGTGCCGCGCCCAGGCGGCTCTAGGCTTTGGGGGTTCCCAGGAGGTTTACAGACCACGCACTTGTAACCCAGGGTAGGGTCGTTTTTGTCGTCCCTCAACTACAGGGGGACTTTGGACGAAAAATTAACAAATACCTCAAAAATGCACCAAACAATCCAAAACACAATCCAGAAATAGTCCCTGGACTATTTTGGGACTATTTGTTTGTTATGTTTGGGGTCTGTTTTATTTTTCGCCGGAAATCCCCCTGTAGGGGGACAGGCCCGACTTAACACAACGTCGATCCCCAGAGGTCTTGACCCCTTCCCTGGGAGCGGTTTTTGATGTTGAATCGTTGTTTCAGCGGTCTCAAATTCCGGTCAGTCGCCAAAACTGCAAAGCCGAAGATCGTGAAACATTTACCGTCGCATTTTTTGTGTTCACAGCTCGATGGGAACAGGGTCATGCGTTCCTCATGGTAGCACGAGGGTCGTATGCGAACCAGGCCGGGGCTCGCGGGCCAAGTGCCGCTGCGAGCAGGGCGAGCGCGCTGGGTGCAGCTGGCCGCCGCCCGCTCCGACGCGGCGGCAGGAATGGGTACGGAGCCGATGGGGCTTCACTTCTTTTCGGATGCAAATTTCCGCCCGTTGCGAGACCAGTTCGTGGGATCGGTGGTCGACACCGGCTTCGAGCTCAGGGAGGACTTCCTAGAGGACCTGGGCGTCGTGGAGGACCGCGCTGCGGGCGGCACGCCAGTTTACATGCACAAGATGCAGTTGTTGCTGGACTCGCTTGATGCTTGCCGACCAGGGGAGGTACTCGTCATATCCGACGTGGACATACAGTTCTTGGGCGAGGTGCTCCCATACGTCCGCCGCGGCATCGCCGGGCGCGACGCGTGCTTCCAGCGCGAGTTTCACCAAATAGGCGTCAACATAGGCTTCATGGCCTTGCGTCGCACAGACGCGTCGCTCGCATTCTGGCGGAGAGTCCGGGAGGAAGTCGACCGCACTGGCGGCCACGACCAGCGCATTGTCAACAATTTCTTGTACGCCGATCCCTGCGGCGAGGACTCTTCGACGCTGCGGTGGGCCCGGTTTCCGCCCGAGATTTGGGCCTCGTCCCAGGCCTTCGATGGCGGCGCCCCGCCAGCAGGCGCAGTGCTGCACCACGCGAACTGGGTGGCACGGCCGCAGAGCACGTACCACCAGCTGGGCGCTGCCGCGTCAAATCCGGTCGCCAAGCTGGAGCAGCTCCGGCAGGTGCGCCGCCTGCTGGCCGAGGGCGGCGCCGCGGGCCTGCGGGGCCTCGCGGCGGAGCTGGCGGCAGACCCCGCCATGGCCGTCTACTTCAGCCGCACCTTCGGGGACCTCCGGAGCGGCCCCGATTGGCTGGCGCTGCCCCAGGGGCACCCGAGCCGCCCTGGCCGCTCGCGCAGAGCGGCGACGAGGAAGGTGTGTGCACGGCAGGAGGTTGCGGCCCAGATTCATGACGAGATGACGCATGCCACTGCCGAGTATGACATTGGTAAGAGCACGGAGGAAATTTGGAGCGTACCCCACTTCGTTGGCGGCCATAAAGACATCCGTCCACTGCTTGATTATGCCTATCATGCGACTTATAAAAGTTACAGGGTGCAGGTTCAGGACGATATCATCGAAAAGCTCTGCACCGATCAGAACTGTCAGTCGGATCTGCTTCCCTGGGTGGTGTTCACGGCAGGAGCGATGGGTGCTGGCAAGGGTTACGTTGTCCGTTGGTTGGATAAAATGGGGTACCTCCCTTTGAAAGACTTTGTTGTTGTGGACCCAGACCAAATACGGCAGATGCTCCCAGAGTGGGAGAGGTACGTGAAGCACGACCCAGCATCAGCGGGCGCGAAGACGCAAAAAGAGGCGGGACACATCGCCGAGATCTTGGGCTACAAGGCACTGCGCCATCGCTACAGAGTGATCTTCGACGGCAGCCTGAGAGATGCGAAATGGTACATGCGATTCTTTGAGAAAATCCGTGAACAGTTCCCAGGCATTCGTATCATGATCCTTCACATCTTGTCTGACAAGGACGAGGTCATCCGTCGTGCAGAGCAGCGCGGTAAGACGACAGGGAGAGTTGTTCCAACGGAGACGCTTCTGGCATCAATGGAGGAAGTTCCGGAGTCCGTGCGTGCACTAGCACCTTACTGTGATTTCTGTTGTCGCGTGCTGAATAGGGAGGGGCAGCAGCCACAGCTAATGCGGGAGCCAGATGCCCCACTCCCACCAAGAACGGTCGACGTCAATTGGGACACGATCAAAAGTTTGTGGGAGAACCCCGACAAGAATGGAGATGGAGAGTTGTGCCGTAATGAAGTCAGTGAGCTCCTGCAGCGAGGGCAAGTCTCTGCACGGGCCATCGAATCCATCGACATTGATGGGGACGGAGCAATATCTAAGGAGGAATTCAGGGCCGCTGAATGCGCGGCATTGAGAAATAGTAAGACGGAGTGGAAGTGATGTGTCTGGGAAGTTGTCAACACTATTTAGGGCATGTGATCAGCCGGGTGCTTGTCACACCTTTTTTTTCGTGCATGCCCAATATGCGCACATTTCAAGCCAGCCATAGCATGTTCAATCGTTCCGAGCATTCCTCTGGTTCATGTTGCACCAATGTTGTCATGTGTTCGGGTGGCCGTCAGCATGGGCAAGTCGTTGGCAGGTGATATTGTTCCCCAACTGTTGGGTGAAGCTCGTTTGGGGACGAGTCTTTTTTGGGCAGATTGATGGCACAGCGCATGGTGTCATTGCATATTTGCGGGCGTTTGTACATTATGTTGGGTATGTCACGCAGTCTTTTGGGGCCCGTCTTGATTTGAGAGTCTGTGGGGGTTGGGGTGCATCACCGTCCCATGCAAGGGCACATCACTATCAATGCGTTGTGCTCGTCCCCGAGAGATGTTGCGAGTGATAATGCGAGTGATAGTTCTCCCCCCCGTACATGCTTTTTGTTGTGCGAAGCTCATGCATGAGAAACGTGGACGTTTGCTCTGCTTGCTCACGGGGAGTTGCATGCTTGGTTGCGTGTGGCGGTCTTCCGCCCATTAGGGGGTACGCGGAACGCGGCCAGCGCGAAGGCCAAACATTTCTCGAGCGATTGCGAAACAGATAGCTTTGTTTCGTGGTCCAGCCCCACCTTGGAGCATGTTATCCAGCTGCCTGCGGCAAGTCCCGCCACCGTGCCAGCCCCGCATTCTGGGTGGCGACTGTTCGAGGGGGCACGGGAGGCCGTCACGAGTAGCATCTCGTGGCTCAAGGTTCGGGAGAGCCGTGATGAGGATTATTAGGATGATGGGAGTGATGACGATGATGATGATGATGATGATGATGATGATGATGATGATGATGATGACATCGATGTTGATTATGATGATGATGACGACGATGCTGATGATGATGATGTTGTTGAAGTTGACGGCGACTATGGTGATGCTGCTGATGACGATGATAACGATGGTGACGTGAACTATGATGACTGTGATGATGAGGAGGGTGATAACGAGGATGAGGATACGGATGATAATGAGGACGAGGATGTGATCATAATGCTGATGATGATTGGTTTGATGATCATATTGAGGTTGAGGCTGAGGTTGAGGATGATGATGTTGAGTGCGATGATGATATTTATGATGATGGTGATGATGAGTATGCTCAGGATAATGCTGGTGATGCTGATGATGAGTATGATAGGGGTGATGAAGATAATGATGGTGATGATGCTGATGCTGATGATGATGATGATGATGATGGTGAGTGTGATGATGATGAGGATGATGAATATAGTGATGCGAATGATGGTAATGATGATGATGCTGATGATTATGTTGATGATAATGGTGATGATGGTGACGATGATGATGATGATGACGACGATGATGATGGTGATGATGATGCTGATGCTGATGCTGATGATGCTGGTGATGATGATGCTAATGCTGATGCTGATGATGCTGATGATTAGGATGATGATGAGGATGATAATGTTTGTTTGTTTTTTGACAGAGTCGGGGCTCAAGGAGAGGGTGAACGCGGAAAGGGGAGGTCGAGCCCTCTGCCCGCGGAAACCGAGTGATATGCCGCCGTGCGCTACGCGCACGTGCAGGGGCAGCTCAATCTGCCACGCACAGCGCGCGATCGGCGGGGCGCACCGCCGCCGACCAAAGATCTGAACAGAAGCCATCCACAACCGCAACGTGAGGACAGGCAAGAAGATTACGCACACAAGATGAGTGACGTGTGCACTAGGCGGATCAAAGCACGAGGGAAACCCACTCACTGCAAGCACATGTCACGTGCCTCTCTCTTCAGCTCTATTGGAGATGATTCTCCAACCATTCAGTCCCTTCCTGATGCTCCTCCTCCATGTATCCAGGCGGTGCTCCCGTAGATGCCGTGCGCCGAGCTGGCGCAGGGGGTCGATCACGGGGTAGCGCTTCTCGCCCATCGGCAGGATGCCCAGGTTGAGTTTGGACTGGTCCTCCTGCGCCGTCTTGGTGATCCTGCACACCCTGATGAGCTCCTCGGCCTTCTCGCAGCTGTTGAAGTCCTCCACCATCTTCTTGGGATGTGCCATGTTGGCGCTTCCGACCTCGGGTGTCTCCGCCAGTACGTACAAGAGCTCGCCGAACAGCAGAGGAGGCCCCAATGGTGGCAAGTCTGGGTTCTTCTCCCGCACCTGCTTGAGCTGCAGGAGGAGCAGCTCGCGCAATCCCTTGTCCTGAACCTGAAGGCCCATGTCCTTCTTCTCGCCCTAGTTGCGTCTCTTGACCCCTCGCCTCGTCCTTAGTGGGGCAGCTGCTGGTCCTGCAGGCCTGCGCTTGCCGCCGTTGCCAATACTCCCAGACGCTGGCGAGGATGCCTGGAGGAGCCACGCTGCCCTCATCGGTGGCACGTGTCGTAGTAGTTGCAAAAACCTGCGATCTGGCACGAGCCCGGCGAGTACCACACTCCGAAGCTGTAGATAGTGGCCGATGTGCGCTCAAGGTTGGGCGTCGCTGCACAGGTCGAAGCTCTTTCATAATCCAGGGTTTGTTCGATGTATGGACTGGCACGGGTACATGAGAAAGCAAATGGCGCCGAAGCGCGTCCACTGAGCCACAAGTCAACGGTGATGACGTTGATTTCGCATTCGTGGTCGCTCTCTGTGTTCGAGTTTTCGCTCGTAGTCTCCGAAGTGGTCGTGCAGATGAAGGCCTCGTCGTCTCGAACTCGGTCTGCGTCGATCGCTGCTCGATGTACTGACGTGATGATGGTGCCGTTCGTCGTGCACGTGTGCTCGATGTGCTGCGTGTCCGTGCTCGTGAAGTAGATGGTGCCGATGACGCTCGTGCAGTAGGTGTGCGTGTCGACGAGGATGGAGGCCGTGTGGGGGCTCCAGAGGTATCGAAGGCTTCAGGCTGAGGGTCCATAGGGGCCTTTGAGTCGGGATCACGCGATACCACAACACGGCATATAGGGCACTCTAGTTTTTCGGGCGGGCGGTACGGCCACGCTTGTGCAGTGTTGGACCGAATGCAGCGGCGAGTGGTCCAGCTCCTCAGTACATGGCGTGAGCAATGATCTCTGGTACGAAATACCGTGTCACATCTCAAGCACTTGTTGTCAAGGATCAGAAGGCCGAGCATGCTCCTCATGGCGTGGCATGGCTCCTTGCTGTGAGTCTGATGCGCGCGTAGCGCAGCGATAGACGGGAAGGTGCGGCCGCAGATGATGCCGTCTGTCAAAGTGATCTCGCACAGGTAGGTGGGTAGGCCTTCCACGCCCGTCACCTCAGTTTCCGTAGGCAGAAACTCCTCCAAGTGGGTACCGTGTGGTGGCCATTGTCGAGTAAAGAAACTCGCGCGTAGTGTGCGGCGGTCCACGGCAGTGTACATGTCGCGCAGCACGGGATCTGTCATGAGCCGTCGGATATCGCGAGGTTGCCATTCGTGTCGTAGTTCAGTGGCCGGATCCAGTGTGAGGAGCGTGTCGATGTCGCGGGCCAGCTGCTTCGCCCATGGGTGGATGTTGATCTCGGTGTTGATCTCTCCGTTCTCCGTCAGGATGGGGACAATACAATTTGCATGTCCCTCCACTGCAAGCGCACCGAAGAATCCCGTCAAGAAGTGGAGGTGCTGCTCAAGGTCAGTCATCATGTCGCGCCACCAACACAGGCGGCGTACCGTAAGCTCAAGCGCAACAGGTGCCAATCGCCAATATCACCAAACATGCAAGGTGGGCCATGACCGATGTACACCGTGTCGTTCTGAATGTGCGCGGCCTTCTAGCAGGGAGCGCAACTTGCCCACCAGGCTGGCGTCGAGGGCCTTGGTGTCGGCCCTCGTATAGATGTAGCTCTCGCCGCCAGACGTGGCCGCACTACGGACGCAACCTCCGAAAAGAAGGCGGCGAGGACGCCATCCAGCCTTGGAGTGCCAGAACCCACTCAGCTGATTCCACGCTCGGTTGATAGCACGTAATCGTTCATGACGTTCGGCAACAGTGCTACTTGGGGCGGAGAACATGCCGCCGAGATGCTTCAGCTGAGGTAACACCGTGCCGACTATCGCGTTGTCGGTGGCAAGTGCCTGTGAAATGCCTCGGCGCGAGGCGGCAATAACGATCTCTGCCTTGGTGCGATTCTGTTTGTACTCCCATGCTTTTCCGCTCTCGTCCAAGCACTCGGCGTCCAAGTTGCTGATGTTGCGGATCTCCTCTGGGGGTGTCTCAGGTAGGGACGCCAGAAGCTTGAGAAGGTCGTCTATGAAAAGGCCCACTCCGACGTTCACAGCGTCGCCAAACATGTCGCAATGGGCCAAGGTGAACTTGGAGAAGCTGCGGGTAAGCTCGTTATACTCATCAATACTGGCGTAATAGTTAGTCATGACAAACTCTTGCTCGTTGCTGTCCCCCATGAGTCCTCCACTGCCTGCGCGTAAATAAAGCCACTGCTGCGGTGTGGAGATGCGCATGACGGCCTCAGAGCGGCGCTGGTGAAGGAACTCGATGTTGGTGTGAATGCGGCCGTGTAGTTCGTCAGGTTCGCCTTCCTGCATGTAGTAGTAGGTCGCGCGGTCGCCAGCGATGTGGTTCAGATCGTCGTGCTTACCGCTCTGGAAGGCTGATCTTTGGTCTTAAGATTTAGCTACAACAGTCCATATGCATGCTCTGATTCTGTGAGCCACGATCCGTGATAGACACATCATACCCTCACGTCGTCGCATGCGAATTCCTCCGTATGCCCACTCGGGCGGCCGGAAGGGGCCACCCTCCGAATTGGCGATGCGTTTGCAAAATCCCCGCCACCAAGGACAAAATGTATGTAATAGGCGTGGTCCAGGTACTCCAGGTAATCCTTTCTTCTTGTCGAGGGCAAATGTCTGGCTCATGTTGGCTTGACTAGGGGCCCTCTGTGATGCTCGTGCCAACGCGTGAATCTCGATGAGTATCTTGGCAGGCTTCGTGAAATGATCCAGTGGTAGCTTCCTCTTGGTCGGGTCAATCGTCTTCTCGAAGTCCATCGGGTCAAATGCTTGAAATAGTCCGAGGCCCGCAGTCTGTGCGGCAGGCTTGCTGAGGAAGGAGGGGTTGGTGATAATCAGGAAAATCTCGGTCGGCAGGCTCCAGCACGGTGCGAACTTTCTGCACTTCATCCTCCAAAGATGGCGCCTGGTGGTGTTGAAGTCCTCGTCACCCGCAAAGAGGTCGCGGACGCCGATGTGGGTGCCAGGTCCGTCAGGTCGCGGAGGTAGTTGTATTCGTTCACCGTATTTTGTGGCCTGCGGGGCGAGCATGGTGACCAAGTAGGTGTCGTCGAGCGTGCTCGCGTTGAAACCTCCGTCGCATCCTGGAACGCTTAGTGCAGCGATCCACTCATCTGCTGAGGGTCGGCACGAAGGTAACGAACGGAAATCCCCCCTACGAGCTCCAATCCCCCTATGAGCACGACGTCGAGCGGCTGCGTGCATGTCAGCGAGTCGACGCTCAGCCCATCCTTCTCGAATCTGCTGGTCCAAGTCGTGGTCCTGGCGTAGTCGTACTCTGCGGATGTGCTTGTGAAGAAGTTTTGTCAAGTGCGTCGCCTCCTCGCCAGCAGCGTCAGGAGCGTCGCGACGAAACGCCGAGCGCTTGGAGGCGCCTAGCTCCGCGAGCAGGTCCAGTCTCCTCCTCATCGCTTGCCTGCACCAGTCGGGTCGCTCCTGGCCGGACGAAAAATGCTTGAGAGCGACCTGTCTGGTGACAGCGACGAAGAGGTGCATGTACCTGTCGGGCGAGGGGTCGGTGCGTTCTTCCGCAAACTCCTCCTGGTACTTCTCTAAGTTGTCCTGAAGGTCCTGGAGAAATCTTTCCCGCCCTTGTCCTTCCTGAAGACATCTGCACAGAATGGGCCAGCTCCAGCCCGACCGCACGGTGCTAACGTGCCCAGGGCAAGGGAGCTGGAAGTAGCCAACAATCGGGACGTGATCGAAGAAGAACTTGCTCTTGCGTGTCCGCCTTGCCGAAGCCATCCAACGTCGGCAGGTAGCGTCTGGGATCAGTGATACTGGGGCGAAACTGTAGTCGATGGTAGTAGCACCATGATGTCCGATGTAGGTGGCCCCCACCTTGTAGTGGGTGTTGAGTGCGCCTAGCGAGTGCAGTTGCATGAGAGCGTGCAGGGCTTTGCCGTTCTCGTTCTCGTGGCCATTGTCGAAGGGTCCAATGCACTCGTCGTTGAACTGCTTGTTGCCTATCTTGCCAAGGCCGGCGTTGGCGTCAGTGAAAAATGATCGGTATTTTGCGAAAGGCACGTCCGCGTAGAAGCTGGTCGATCCATTCTCGAAGCAGCAGACATCCTTTGCGCCATCCTGGGCGTGCCCGCGCTGTGCGGGGCCGAGGCTCAAAATAAGCGACAATCACACGGAGGAGCAAAGGGCCCTTAGTGATGTCGACCATACCGCCACGGCCTGCGACGATGGCGGGGGGGGTCTCGATGGCCGATATATCGGTAGCACGTAGTCGTTCGCCGAGGAGAATACTGCATCCCGCACTCTTGTTCGTGCAGGCTCCAGGTTGCCAAGGGAAATGAACCACGTTGTGGTAGACGGTGCTCTCACGAATATGCGCAGGCCTGGAATCGCCTTGGGCGAATGCAGCTGGGCGTCGTCGACCAGTGCCCGTGAGCCCGCCAATCGCGATGCTGCGGTAGGCGACGGAGAGTTCCTGCAGGCGGAGGGGCTGCAAACTGCCGACGTTGTGGGTCAAGATCGGGAATCGTCTCAGCAGCTGCAGCGCAATCGCACTCCTCATGAGCGCGGCGGTGGCGCAGCCCCACGGCACCAGCGGCGGGCCATGGCGGGCGCTGTCTGGGAAGGGGCAGACGAGAGCCAAGCCGTGTCCCTCCTGGAACGGGCCAGAGCGGCTTGGATGACGATGATGATGATGATGATGATGATGATGATGATGATGATGATTATGATGATGATGATGATGATGATGCTCATGATGCTGATGTTGATGCTGATGATGACGATGATGATGATGATGATGAGGAGGAGGAGGAGGAGGAGGAGGAGAAGGAGTCTCGTGTTGGGCCGTCTTGTGGCTGCCTTTGCCTCTTGTGAGGCAGTCTTGGGGTCCCTTTGGGCCCTCTTGGGCCGTCGTGGGGCCCTCTTACGCCAGCTTGGGGCTCCCTTGGGTCTTGGGCCGCTTTGGGCCCTCTTGACCGTATGGTGGATGTCCAGGAGCCCCATTGGGCAGTCTTGGGGCCGTCTTGGGTGCCTCTTGGGCCATCGTGGAGTCCTCTTGGATCGTCTCGAGCTCGGGATCGTGGCATGGGATGCCCTGGAGCGCCTGGGAATGTGGGAGGTGCACAATCCTCGAGCGGGTGCGCGTGGGATGAGGGGTCCAGAAGTTAGCAGCCATTCGGGAAGTCCAGCGAGCTCGCATGGATTGAGGATTCAGGCATTAGCTGCCATGCGGGAGGTGCACAATCCTTGAGCGGGCACGCGTCGAAGGGGGGTTCAGGCATTAGCTGCCACGCGGGAAGTGTATTATCCTCGAGCTGGCACGAGGGAAGTGGCATCGGAAATGAGGGGCGGTGCACGCAAGAGTCTGCTGGTAGAGGGAGGGTTGGTCCCTGATTTGAATTCAGAAAACCTACCAGAGAGTCTACGGTGGCGGATAAGCATCCTTGGCCGAGAATAAGAGCTTCAACCTCGATTGCATCACGTGTCTTTCTCCCGCAGGTCTCGAAGATGGTTCTACGCAGGGCAGCTGGCGGGCGACAGTCGTGAAAATTCGCATGGCCCTCACACATGTTTGGCAGTCCCCGCTACTTCAGCGCAAGATGGCTCCGAGAAGGGCCCAAGAGGCTTCCGAGGGTCCCAGGAGGCCAACAAGAGCAACCAACAGGGCCCAAGACAACCGTATGATGACCTAAGATGGTCTCCAAAAAAGGCCCAGACGGCTCCGAAACAGTCCAAGAAGCCACAATGCTTCCGTGCACGGCCCCCGGAGCCCCCAAAGGGCCTTCAATGCACCAAGGCAGGGCCCACTTCGATCCGGTCGAACCGGGGCCAGCTCGATCCGATTTTGATATTCCATTGATCCGATGCGGCCCGATGCTTGCATGGCGTTGTCGCACATCCAGGCGCAACCTATCCGATTCGATTTCGTTTCCGCGACAATGCAGCCCGATCCGACACACATTTCGAATCGAATATGTTTGCCGATTCGATGCTGATGGATCTTCTCAGGGCACCTCAAGATGGCCTCAGGATTGCCCCAAGAGAGCCCCAAGAGGGCCCCACGAGGGTCCCGAGAGGGACCCGATCGACGTTGTCTGAGGTCCGCCGAGGGCTTCCGAGGGCTACTAAGGGCCGCCGAGGACCTCTGCAGTCTCGGTGGAGGTCGACGACGGCGACAACGACGCCAACGCTGATCTCGCGCCCTCTCTACGATAGGCGCGTTCCGTCCACGTGCAAGCGAGGTTCTGACACCCCCATGGCCCGATGGTCCGGCAGATTTTTGACATAGACTGCAGAGCCCAGGCCCATAGGCCGTCCGCTAATTTAGCGTTTCAGTGCCATGGCCTAGTTCCACCAGTCTCTTTGGGACGCACGGCCTTACGCCGAGTAGTGACAGACTTGCGTCCTTGTTGCTGCGATTGTGTGGACGAGGCGGCTTTGCAAACACATTGCCTCTCTTGTTTGGGTTGTTGCTGTTGTTGTTGTTGCTCCTCCATCCTTTTCCCTTGCAGATGACTCCTCTTCATCTGACCAGTCGTGTCCGTAGGGCCGCTCGAGAGTTGTATTTCCGATTTCTTCACAAATTATGGACCTGAAGCTTGAAGCCCCTAACAGCTACAAGGATCGAAAGGGTGTTGTTCAAAATGGAGATCTCGCTTTAACGCCGCGCACATTCGTTTTGAGAGTATCCAGCAGTGACAATGATGCAGGCGGGGCCCCTGTTCAAACTGCAACTCCTTACTGTGGCGTCATGCGCATTCGTCTGCAGAGCGCGCAGCTGTAACAATGATGGACGCAGCCTCCTTTTCAAAATCGGATTCGCCTTGGCGCCGCTCGCGTTCGTCCTACAAGTTTGCAGCAGTTACTGGGATTGAGGACGGCTCCGTTTCAAAATGGGCTTGGGCTTGAGATTCCCCCAACACAAAATCACAACAATTGTGAAGTTGGGCAACAATTACACGGGTGGAGGCCATCTCGATTTCAAAGTGGAGCGGTCGTTTGAGAGTTTTTCCCGAAATACCTCAATCGTTGGACACCTCCATGAGAATTCTGATCCTATGTGGCCAATGTTTCTTAGTCCGACATAATTATTCAAGGAAGTTCCGTTTCAAAACGAGGCTCTCGCTTGAACGGCGATTTTGTCTTTTAACGTGGCGCTTCTTGTTGTGAAAAGGAAGGCTGTAGGGTCTATAGGAGAGGAGCTTGTTTTCTTTCGCCCCCCCCTCCCGTAACGCTTGTCACAGGGGGGTCCGCCCCCCCTAATGATCGTACGGCGGGCGGTGGCGCGACCCCCCCCCCCCGTGCGCCCGGCCGTCGTGGTGCCCACATCGGCGGCGGGCACAGGCGCTGTTGTGCACGCAGGCGCCGTTGTGTGCACTGGCGCTGTGTTGCACGCGGCTGTTGTGGTGTATGCAGGCGCTGTGTCGCGCGCAAGCACGCCTGCTTCGGTGACAATAAGATAGGATGTCCCTCCCTCCACCCAGCTTGCTCTCCTCACAGGCCCTGGTTGTGGTCGCGGGCGACTGCTGTGTTTGCACGCCGCGGTCCCCACACCGCAAACGAAAAGGAGAAGGAGGGGGAGCAGCGGCGAGTACAACAGAGCGGGGAGGAAGCAGATTGCCGTCGCGTCAGGATCCGTTGTCCCCCCAGGAGGAGGAGGGGGAAAGAGGAGGAGGATGAGGAGGAGGACTAGAAGGAAGTGGGATTCATTTGCGTGCGAGACACACGCCGCTGCCTAGCGTTTCCTGGCGATGGGGTCATGGCGTCGTGCGGTTCCGAGTCTGTCAGCTTCTGTCAGTTTCTCGGGCACCCGGCGACGGCGGCGCCGACGAGAACGAACGAACGACGACGTCTTGGGGCCTCCAGAAACCCCAGGACGTCGTCGATCGTCGTCGTGTGGCTCAAGGGTTTTCCTTGGCTCAAGCATCTTGGCCTACTGCTGTTCCTCCTGCTTTTCCTGCGTAAATTCCTTATGCCGACGCCGTTCCGCGCTCCCCCAGGCCGCGTGGTGTTCACGGGCGCTGTGGTGCAGATGATGCCGCTGCAGCTGCAGCGGTCCCAAACATCTTGGTGTTCGCAGGCACGGAAGTGCACAGAGGCAGCGCGGCGTACACAGGCAGTGTCGGTCAAAAACCAGGGGACCGCGCCCCGGGCCACAAAACACTAATAGTTGACATTGATTTTGATATGTTCGGGCCCCCAACGGTGGCATGGCGTACGCGTGCGCTCTAATGCACGCGACCGCTGTAACTGCTGTACGCGCGGCGTTCTGGTGCACGCGGGCGCTGCCTGCGGGCTACTGTGATTCACGCGGTTATTGTGGCGTGCGCGCGCCATGTGGTGTACACAAGCGCTGCGGTGCACGCGGGCCCTGCGACACAGGCTCTCAAGCACTCTTTTCTGGTGCACGCAGGAGCTGTGGAGCACGCAGGCGCTGCGGTGTACACCGGCGCTGTGTTGCACACGACTGTTGTGCTGTACGCAGGCGTTGTGGTGCACACATGCGCTACGGTGTACAGGTGTACACAGGCGCTGCGATGTACACAGTGGTGCACGGGCGCTGCGGTGTACACAGGCACTGTGGTGCACAAGCATTGCGGTGTGCAGTGGCGCTGTGTTGCACACGGCTGCTCTTGTGTACACTGGCGCTGCGGTGTGCACAGGCGCTGTGGTGCACGCAGGCACTTCGGTGTCCACATGCGCCGTGCACAGGCGCTGCGGTGCACGCATGCCTCCCCCGCCTCCCGCCCCCCTCCCAGCCCCAATCGTTAACGTACCCCCCCCTGCCCCCCCCCACCATAACGGACGTTACGGGCCCAGAATAAAAACAAACGAAAAACGTTTCGAGGGAGCTGGGGACGGGAGGGCATGGTGCAGCCTCGTTGATACAAAGTTGGTTTCTTATGGCACTGATCCTCCTCGTCATCATCCTTATCATCAAGCCATTATCTAGCGCAGGTGGTCCAGCCTTTTCACTGGCTCAATGGCTCGAGCAGTGGCTCAAGCAGCCTTCTCTACGACGCCGCCTCTACATTCAGCCGGTCCCTTGGATTTGCGCGAGCGGTACCCTGCCCGGCCTCGTGGCACGATTCCATGCGCGCTTGGAACGAGCCCACTCTAAGCCCCCACGCGCCTTGGAGCAAGAGGAAGCTGGACGTCCACAAATCTTTACTTCAAGACGCAACTCATGGGAGGTTCAATTTCGCATCGGCGCTTCCGTCGTTTGAATCTCGCTAATTCTGGGGCATTCGCGGAATCCTTGTTTAAGATTGGCTTATTCGGCTTAGCTGGGCTTCATCTCGGGGTTAACCTAGGCTCTTCCGATTCGGTGGCCCCGGAATCGCGGGCTTACTAACCGTTAGCCGTTCTTGCGAATACCTCCTAGAAGTTGTCCCCGAATTTAATACGAAGTCTTCCCGACGAAGCCAGTGCCTGCTGGCAGTGCCCAGTGGGAAGGACGAGAAAAAATGAGCGGAGTGGCCGTTGTATGACGATCGGCTGCGTGCGGGCACCGTCCACGTCCCTTGCGTGCCGTTCCCTCGAGACTTCCCCGTCGCGATCATCATTGCCATCACCATCATCATCATCATCATCATCATCATCATCATCATCATCATCATCACCATCACCATCACCATCATCATCACCATTATAAACATCATAACCCAGTTTTTGAACCACGTGTCCGACCCGACCCTTGTCTTGTGGCCCTTTTTCAGATCCGCGCGCCTTCGCGCAAGTGAATGATTAAAAGATATGTCCGCGGCCCTTCGCGGGATTGGCTTGGCAACCTGGGCGGCGGAGCGCCTCCTGAACAGCAAGGTGATCGGCGAGGCCAGCAACTGCGCCTTCGCCATCCAGGTCTTTGCCGGCGCCCGCATCGCGGCGAGTGCCATCTCGTGGCGGGGTTCATCCTGGGCTACTTCATCAGCACGAGCCATGGCTGCTGGTGCTGCCGCGCCTGTCCAGTGGGATATCGGCGACAGGCTGGAGATCCAGTGGAGAGCAGGCGACGCGTGGCTTACTCTCGTGATCGTGGGCGTCGCGACCGAGGGAGATCGCCAAGAGACTATGGGAGAAGCTCCTCCAGCGGGAGCGGAGAAGCGTGTCGAGATATTCTTCATGATAGTCTCCGACGGCGACATGTACCCGCACGTGCTGAACACCGACGTGATCTGAGGGGCCGTGACAGTCCGCCGCGAGCGGAGGAACCGCGAATCAGTGGTCTGCACGGCCCCAGGCGCGAACGCGAGGACGCGCGGGGAGAGCCAGACGCCCGAGCCCGCCGAGTTTTTGGATGCGATCGGCGTCGCATTGGCGATACCTTTCGGCGAGGTGACCGCGAAATTGAAGCAGTCAGCGCTGGCCGCGGGGGGCATCGGGCTCGAGTTTAGTTCAGATGCCGCCTGAGTGGGAGGGCTCGGCTATTCTGCCAGATCCTGACAGAAAAGGTTGGTATATCATCGCAAGCAGTGGCCAGTCCAGCGCCGCCAATCACCCGAGCCTCACCGTGGACGCAGGGATCGTGGGCAAGAGGCTGGGCTTTGTCAGAGTGGCGATGGTGCCTTACCTCGCGCAGTACGGAAGCCCCGACATAGCGCTGGATGCTCGAATGCTGGCGTTGACCTGGGCGACGGGCGACATCCTGGCTTTCGCCGGGCAGTGAAGCAGCTAACAGACACGACCTGGCCATCCTGGCCCCTCGTGGGACCCGGGACGGCGGGCCGGGTGCGCAGGTTCATCCGGGGCCAGGACGCGGCGCCTCGTTCGCGCCATGCCCGCTTTAAGGCGGAGGCGGGCCTGTCGGCGCCCAGATGCAGAGGTCGACTTTCCGACTTTCACGAGTTTTGTCTGAGGTCGCTGCAGATCGGGGCCCAGTTCGGCCAGTCGAACACATCAGAGTTGGCGATCTTCGAACCCATATTTCGAAAGACGCGAATGATCGAGAAAACGCATCGGGGCAAGTAGCTGCGCCGCATGGGCGCCTGGGCGGATGATTTGGCCGAGGACGAGCGCATCTGCCTTGGCACTTCAGAGGCGCGCGGGTTGGCGATGATCTCATCGGCTTTGTCCACGCACGTCGCCGACGAACTGCACGAAGAAGCGAGCGTCTTGAAAGGGAGGCGCAAAGCGCGGGAGGGGGCAACGCCGTTCGGCGCGGCGGCGGCGGCGGAGGTGGAGGCGGCGGCGGCGGCGACAACCCGACGTCGCTGACTCACGCAGAAAAGATGGCGCACGAGAGCAAGGCGCTGAAGAATAAGTTCGCGGCGGTCGATCCGCGGGGCAAGGTGGGGCGGGAGCTCCGGCGGCCCAGGGGGCCGCCGGGGGCCCGCGACCTTCGAGTGGGCGTCCGCGCCGCGGAGGCTGCCCCCAGTTCCCGCGGCGCCCTGGGTCGAGGAAGACAACGACGGCTCTCGCTTCTCGACCCGACACCGTCGCCGCAGAGCTCGTCGACGCTTCTATGCTTCACGCTAGGCGCGGGGTGCGATTCACGGCCTGAACTGGTTGCGCGGCCGCGACGTCTCCGGCGAGTTCGGCGCGCCCCCCCTGGGGCAGGGCCTCGGCAGCAGCCGAATGAGCGAGCGAATAAAGGCCCGTGGTAGGCCTCCTTGCACCGCGGTGGCGACCCTATCGGAGCTGTGCGCAGCGCGCCTGGATGCGACTGTAGCCCAGCAATTTCGCCGCGCGCGCCGAAGGTCTCGCGAGCCTGTCCGGCAACGCCTCCAAGTGCGACGCCTCGGAGACGCTCGCTGGACACGCGCGAGAGTTGCGGCGCGACTGGCGCCAGCGCTTGCTACGAGGTCCCGGGCAGGATCGAGAGCCTGTTGCACTCAACTTCGATGAGAAGCCGGGGCGGCCCCCAGGCCATTATCCCCTCATCTTGAGCGAGCTTCGGTCGGGCTATTCTTCGTCAAAAAGTCTGACAACCAGCTTCGCCTGACTCTCGGCGCGCGCGTAGTGAATGAAGACCTCGTGGGCCCTGATGCCACGGCGCTGCCCTCTGCCGGAGTTCGACGTGGTCTGAAGATGCCAGCATCCGACAACCTATCGCTGAGCCCAGTGGACATCGTCGCGTCCATAGCCGTTCCCTGGCCCCCGAGCGAGTTCAACCCCGCCGACGAGGTCAGTCGGACAGTCGGCCGCCAGCCCGCCCCGCGCGACCGGGGCGGGCGCCGCGCCGGCGGCGGCGGGGCCGACGCGGCGAGGGCCAGCGCTGCAGCGGCGTGGGCCTGAGCCCTCGGCGAGACCGCCGCCTGGGGGGGCTGCGCCGAGAGCGCCCGCTCCCTCGGTGACGTCGAGCAGAGGGAACAGCCTGGACACGACCGCGCCAGCTCCGGCGCTGCCGAGTCGCGCGGCGCCGTGACGGACGCGCTGGGGGGCGAAGACCGCAGCGGGGCCAGCGACAGCAGCTCCAGCTCGGAGAGCCACGGTGGCGGCGCGCACTGGTGGGCACGGGGCGCCAGGGGCCGAGGTGCCGTGGAACGCGCCAGAGGCAGAGGTGCTGTGGAACAGCGGGCCGCGGCCAGGTTGGACCACTACGGCCGCGCGCGGAGCGACTTCGAGCCTGGCTCAAGCTTCCAGCAGACCAAGGAGCTGAAACCGTCCACGCGCACCGCCTTCAGGGAGCGAGTTCGGGACTTCTTGGAGTGGGCCAGCGAGGGCGCCCTGGGCGAGATCTCCGACCAGCTGCTCGACCAGCTTGCCACGAAGTACATGGGCGCGCTCTTCTTCGACGGGATGGAGGTCGGCGAGGGCCCCGTGCTTTCGGCAGCGCCGCGGCACTTGCGGCCCAGCCGGGGGGCGACCAAGTACGGCAACTTCCCCGTGACATGGGCGGCCTCGGCAGCCTACCGCAGGCGAACTCACGGCTCGTCCCGAGAGCCTCTGTGCCGCCCGCGGGTGCTTGCCTTGATCGGCGTCAGCTTGTCGCTGAAGGACCTGGAGTTCTCCGCGGCGTCGCGGGTTGCATGGGTTTGCCTGGGGCGGCGCGCTGCGCCTTCCCTCCGACCTCGCGGCACGAGCGCGAAGGCGCCGGTCGGGCTTGGGAGGGGCGGGAAGTCTGTCCGGGCCCCGCCCCTCTACCCGAGCACCGAGGAGGCGAGGAGCAAGCCCATGGGCGCCGACGGGGGGTCATCCTGTTGGAGACCGCGCGGCAGCAGGGCGGCGGCAACGCCCATCGGCGCTGTTCGGAGCGCTCGGCGCCCAGGCTGCCGGCCGTCCGCGGTCGATCGGTGCCCCGCGTTCACGCGGCGCTCCGAGGAGCGGTTCGCCTGCCTGCCGGCTGCGCCGACGGCGGTGGCCCACCAGGCCCGCTGCGGCGCAACGTGGCGGCAGCGCAGGGCGCGCCGCTGACGGGCATCAGCGAGCGGCTGAGACGCACGAGCCCGCGTTGCAGCTTGCGCTGCGCCATGCGCGTCCGCTACTCCGCTACCTCGCCCTGCTGAACCTGGCGCCGCTCGCCGTCGCGGAGTGGTCCGAGGTGGTGGGCAGCAGGCCCGGGCCGTTGCTGAGCGGCACCGAGACGTTCCAGGCCCCCGCCTTCTTGCCGCCCAGTGCGCTGCAGCCCATGCGCTGCAGCTGCGAGAGGGGCTCCGCTTCGGGTTCCAAGAGAGCGGTCAGATCTTCCCATGGGGCCAGGTTCCCAAAGAGTTGGGTCAGCAAGCAAATGTGCAATTCGAGTGACCACGCGTCTACGTGGGTGAACGGTTTCATTTGCGACCTGCGCTCGGTGACAAGGATGCTCATTGGGTGGGTGGGTCGGCTCCCGCGTCGCGCGGAGTATTCGCGTGACGCTTCCGCGTTTGGTTGAGTCTCGCAAGGGAGACAGCAGCTATGCTGCGCACACGAATGCCAAACCCTGTATACACAACTTGGTTAAACACGCCACTGGTTCTTTTGATAGTATGGGTTATCACGCTTATCGCGTGCCCTGAGACCTTATGTAAATGATCGGGTGCAGGATTGTTTAGACAAGCTCCTGCACAAGTGAGGTGCTTGGTCCACTACTATTGCTTCTGGTAGTTGTAGTCGGCGCGTGCCTGGCGAAAACCTCCTGGTGCGTTCGGTTTCCGGGCCCCGTCCGAAACGGCGCGTCCCATGTCCCTCCTGGACCGCAGAAGGCCAGGTCGGCTGGCTCGCCGTTTTCGTCTGTCGGGCTGTGATTTCTTGTCGCTTCGCGAGTACGCTGAAGAGTGGTGCTGATAGGCTTCAGGTTCACAACTTGTCCCGTCTGGTTTGCTGACATGGGCCAGAGGACACTTCGGGTCGGGGACGAGAGGTTCTGCGAGTTTGGTTGTGAACTTACCCGCTGCGTCCGTCCAAAGAGATATGTTCTAATGCGAAAAGACTGCCATTGCAAGGTGAATAGTTGGTCTGGCCACACGTCCGGCGCCAAGGGAAGGCTCAACCCAGTTCTTGAAATCCTTGCCTCCGTCCAAATTCGTTCAAGCTCCTTGTTCCCCCCACCCCGCTTGGCGGGAACTCGCCAAAGCTTGTGAATTCAAAGGGGGACGAGGCTCGGCGAGTCTGTTTTGTGAAGTCATCCACTGCACCCGTCCAGAAAAAATGCTCTGATATGAAAAGATTGGCACAGCAAGTTGGATAGTTCGTCTGGCCACACATCGGGGGACAGGGGAAGGCCCATCATCATCATCATCATCATCATCATCACCATCATCATCATAATCACCACTACCATCACCATTATCATCACCATTCGCATCGTCACCATTATTATCATCATACGCATCACCGTCACCATGATCATCCTCATCACCGTCACCATCACCATCCCTAGCACCATCACCACCATCACCACCACCATCACCATCATCCCCATGACCATCATCATTTTCATGATTATCATCATATGATGTCCTTTATCCTCCTCCTCGTTCTTCGTTTCCTCCTCCTCCTCCTCCTCCTCCGTCCGGCTACTCCTATTCCTGTTATTGTTGCTGTTCGCCGTCCTGCTCCTCCTCATGCTCCTCCACCCCCTTAAGGCCGTCAGCTCTGGCGTTGTCCCCCAGATCAAGACCTTCAATAAGATGATCAGGGCAGCGGGCAAGACGAAGGAGCCGCTTCGATGGGCTGCTGCTCTTCCCCGCTCGATCGCCGCAACTCGCTTCTCCTCCTCCGGCACCTCCCCCTTCTCCTCCTTGTACCCCTCCTCCTCGTCTCAACCGCAGGCGGCTCGAGGCATCCGCGACCTTCGGGTGCGTGAGTTTGGCCGACTGCGCTTCCTGCCTCCGCGCACGCGTCATAGATTTCACGCCTGGCGAGGCGCCCGCGGGGTGGACGCTCCCCGGCCGCTGCCATTGGGACCGTGGCATCGTTCATCCTCGTTGATCACGAAGAGGAGCGAACATAGGGGAACAAAAAGTGACACAAACATAAAAACTTGGAGGTCCGCGCGGATTTCTCGGATCGGCGCTGGGGCCCCCCTGCGGCGCCTCTGGCGCCGCCCCCGGCGCGCTCCGCGCGCCAGGGAGGGGGGTCCAGCACCGATCGGAGAAATCCGCGCGGACCGCCGAGTTGTTATGTTTATGTCACTTGTTGTTCCCCTAAAACATCCGCCAGAATGCGCTGGGCAGATTGGCATTGTTCCTGGCAGAACTTACGTGGCTGTGCTTTCTGGTCGTGTACAGCCATCCCCTACGCGTAGTGCCTCCCACGATAGTCTTAAGTCCCGTGTTGCTGCGCCCACAAACGGGGCGGCACGATCTTTCCCCCCACGACCATACAGACGTTAAGATCTACAACACTTCCAATGCGTTTTGTGATAGTTACGTTTCCGGGTGCAGGGTGCGTTTTCTGTTCATCCTCTCTCTATCCCTCCCTCCTCACTTCTTGTTTCGCGCTCCTCCACTATCCTCACGGATCCCCTGAGAGGAGTAGCACCAGCAAAAGTAGGAGTGCCAGGACGTCCACATCATTCTTGGCCATCGATCCAGGTTTCCGACGATTCGATTTGTTCGAGATGCCGGTTCCTCGAGCTCTTCACCCCTTTCTCAGGATTAGCCCCAAGAGGACCTCCTAGCTCTCCCATCCCTTCTCACTCCCTCACCCCACTCTCTCCCTTCCACATCCCCCCTCCTCTCGCCTTCCTTCTCGCTCCTGCATCCCGCCTCCCTCCTCCACTCTTCATCTGTGCAGCCTCGCTTCGCCGTTCGACTGTCTGACTCTTCTGCCGCACCTCCTCCCAATTGATTAAGGTGTATCCTCGCGTCTCTCTCCGACGTCTTCACCTCCTTTCTCTATCGTTAGTATCTTCATTCGTTCGGTTCGTGCAGGAGGTCTGGTGCACTTGGGACTACCAGTCCAGTCCTGTGTTTAAGTGATGTTCAGGTTCCCTTTTTTGCGTTGTTTGCTATCGAATCACCGTGGGTACGATGGGATCAATGTGTCGGTTCGCGTTACATGTTAACCCATGGTTTTGAGATTGCATTCGCAATTTGCATTGGTTCTAATTTTAGATGCGGTGCAGTGGACCGCTCTGTTTTGTTTTTTATGTTTATTTGCACTCCGTTTCCTTGCGTTCGATATTGACCATATCTTGATATGTCCCGCGCTTTTCTTCACAGTTCGTTGCGTTGCCATTGCATCCGTTTTCTATGGCAATGCTCTGCGCTAAGCTGGCATGGCAATACGCTGCGTTTATTTGCACTGCTGGGCCTGTGTTGCGTTGCGTTGCTTCGCGTTGAGCTTGCACAGACTTGCTCTTGTCCATTCGGTCAGTGCTCTCGTGACTACATCGATGAATTCTGAGGCGATGTGTGGATACGTACATGCGTGCAGCTGTGAGCTTACCGAGCGATGGGCCATGCTGAAACGCAAGCGCGCGCGAAGCGCGCCCTTTCCTCTACTCGTAACTAGACCGGCCCAGCACCGCCCAACCATGTTTCGAGACGGCTGCAGAAGCGGCCCCGAAAGGATCCTCAACAGAGCGCCAGGATGCAACAATCATTGAGTTCCAATGGTTGGGGTTTACACTGGTCCTCTTCCTCCTCCTCCTCCTCTGCCTCCTCCCCTGCCTCCTCCCCTGCCTCCTCCTCCTCCTCCTTTTCCTCCTCCTCCTCCTTCTCCTTCTCCTCCTCGTCCTCCTCTTCTGCCTCCTCCTCCTCCTCCTCCTCTCCCTCCTCTGCCTCCTCCTCCTTCTCCTCCTCCTCTTCCTCCTCGTCCTCCTCCTCCTCCTTCTCCTCCTCTGCCTCATCCTCCTCCTCCTTGTCCTCCTCCTTCTCCGTCTCCTCCTCCTTCTCCTTCCTTCTCGCCCTCCCGAGAGCCGAGCGCCGCAGCGCCGCGGGCAGGGCCTGAGGGCCGCCGAGCGCTGGTTCGAGAAGGCCCTCGAGGCTGGGGCGGCCCCGAATCTGGTCCGCCGCGGCGGCCGGGAGAGGGAGGGGAGACAGCGCGAGAAGAAGTGCGGCGGGCAGCGGCACCCTGAGATCCGCGCGCTGCTTCCTTGCTTCATGCCAGGCGTTGTCGCCCAGCTTCGGGCCCCGGGGACATGCGGATCGATTTGGCCAGAAAACAAGCGCAGAATGATGGGATCTAGAGCTCTGGTCGTGATCTTTCACCATATTGCCATGCTTTCGGGGAGAAGGAGCGAGGAGGAGGCGGAGGAGCAGGAGGAGCAAGAGGAAAGGGCAAACGAAGAGTTGGAGGAAATTGAACAGGATCGGAGGATGAAAGGGTACCGATTCTGCTGCTCGTCCTGGATAGCACTCGTAGCCACGGCTGGATCCTCCTTGAAATTCTGGCGAGGTATCATCCCAGGAGAGGCCCGTTGAGTCGCGATATCGGTACCTTCTGGTTCCCTCGGAGGGGGGGGAGGAGGAGGCGAGGAAGGCGATGCACCAGGTAATCGAGCATGGGAGGAGGCAGTGCCGCGCTCTACCGCCCTGTGCTCGGTGTGGGTTGACAAATTGCTGCCGCCGCTTGTCTCGCCTCGCCGCGCACGCGCTGCTGCACACCTCCTCCTGCCTCATCATCCTCCTCCTCATGCCTCCTGATCCTCCTCATCCTCCTCCTCCTCCTCCTCCTCCTCCTCCCCCTCCTCCTCATCCTCCTCCTCCTCCTCCTCCTCCTCCTCCTCCTCCTCCTCCTCTCCTCCTCAAACCCCCTCCTCCTAGTTATCCTCGCGAGGAGGAGGACCAGGAGGAGGACGAGGAGGACCAGAAAGGACGAGGAGGACGGTGGAGGCCGGCGGCAGTACGAGATACGCCAGTGTCCGAGCTAGGAGGGCGCAGGCCGGGTGTTGCCACAGATGGCTCTAGCTCCGGGCGGGAGCACAGGTGGCCCACAGGGCACCCCTCGCGAGGCCCAGAGGGTCCCAGGGATTCCAGAATGGCGCGAAGAGAGGGCGAAACTTTGGGCTGGGGACACCTCTGGCGCAGGAGGAGGCGAGGGAGAAAATCAGAAAAGGAAGAGGAGGAGGAGGAGGAGGGGAAGGTAGAGGTGGAGAGGATGAGCAGCAGCAGACGGGTCTCCGTGCGCCAGGACGCAGGGCGACTGCGCCGCGCGAGGCTTCTGGCCAGGTCGACGCGGCCTTGCCAATCGTGCCTGGACGATGCTGCCCCAGCCCTGGCCGAGTGCGTGGCTCGCCGCCGCCGCCGCCGCCGCGTTGGCGGCCTCGCGGGCCGCCATGTCCTCCGGCAGGGCCCGGAGCCCCTCCCGGCTCCGCCGCCGTGGTGGCACGTTCTGCCCCCGCTCCACCTCGGGAGCCTCGGCCCCCGCGACCGTGCCCTCGGGGTGGGGGGCCGCCGGGCGCCCCTCGCGCCGCGGGCCGCTGCTGCCTCCGGGCCGCCCCCGGCTCCTGCCCCTGCGGTGTCCCGGGCGGGGCGAGGGCGAGGATGGATCCTCGGTCGACTACACGTAAGAGTGACCGTTCGCCGGAGTGACCTTTGGTGCGGGCTCATCGGGCTTCCCCCGATCGCCGGGCGCGATGCGATGCAACAGGGCCGCGCCCTTGGGTTTGGCTCCCTCGCGCCCCCCAAAGCTGCGCACCAAAGGTCGCTCTTACCCAGGGTCACTCTTACGTCTAGTCGACTCGGGGGCCCCCAAGCGGGGTGGTGACCACACCGTGCGGGGAGTCGGTGGGGATTCGGGGTCACCGCACGGTTCTGGGACTCGGGTCGTTCTCCGAGGACGTCTCGAGCGGCTGGGGCAGCCGCGAGGTCCCAAGACCGTGCGCTGACGGACCGTGCGGTGAGGTCTTGAGGGATTTCGAGGTCACCGCACGGTCTGGCACCGCACCGTTTCGGGACTCCAGAAATCTATTCCAGAGCGTTCCGGAACGCCCTCAGAGCGTTCCAGCACGCTCCGAGAAGGCCGCGCCCGAGACGTCCTTCAGAGCCGCAGGATCTCAGAGATTCTCGATTCATCCTCGTCCAGGCTTCGTCTTAGTGTCTTCCACACCGCGCCGATCACGGCCCACCGCGGCGTGGCGAAAGCGCAGCGGCAGGGCCGCACGCGCCTCGTGCCGCCGGTGCGGACAAGCTGCAGCATCGCGAAAAGTCACCACCGAGCCCTTCGTTCGCCGCAGCCTTCGGACTGGGTCGTTCCGTGATGGCCCCGGGGCCCGCAGCTGGGCGAAAACGCCCGGCATGAAGCAAGGAAGCAGCGCGCGGATCTCAGGGTGCCGCTGCCCGCCGCACTTCTTCTCGCGCTGCCTCCCCTCCCTCTCCCGGCCGCCGCGGCGGACCAGACTCGGGGCCGCCCCAGCCTCGAGGGCCTTCTCGAACCAGCGCTCGGCGGCCCTCAAGCCCTGCCCGCGGCGCTGCGGCGCTCGGCTCTCGGGAGGGCAGGAAGGAGGCGGAGGAGGAGAATGAGGAGGAGGAGGAGGCAGAGGAGGAGGCAGAGGAGGAGGAGGAGGAGGAGGAGGAGGAGGAGGAGGACAGGTGTAAACCCAGGAGTCATCAACGATGTTGGAATAAACCCTCCGTCCAAGCTCCCTCGTTATAGGCCCCTACAGCGGTTCATTTCCACAGAGGGAACTGCCTCGTTGGAAGACAATCGTTTGAAGACCTTGAAGCATGCCAGAACATTGTTCTCGGGATTTCAAAGCCACGGATCAACCTAATTGCTGCGTCTTGACGATCTGGAATCGTGCCAGAGAGCCATTCTTGGGACTTCAACGCAGCGAATCAGTATTCTTTGTTGCGCCCTCATAATCTTGAACCCTTCCAGAATAGTTTCTGGTACGCCGATCATGAGAATCGTGAAATTCTTGCAGATGATAAGAGCGAGTATGCGCGGAGCTAAGGCGAGAGCCACATTTTGGAAAAGGAACCGCCCTCAATCCGTGAAGTTCTTGCAAATGTTAAGGACGAATGTGCGCGTCGCTACGGGCGAGAACCACATTTTGAAAAAGATCCGCCCTCAATCCGTGAAGCTCTTACAAATACCAAAAGCGAATGCGCGCGTCGCTAAGGCGAGAGTCGCATTTTGAAAACGGGCCACATTCACTCCGCAAAACTGTTGTGCAAATGTTACAAACGACTACGCGGTGCTAAGGCGAGAACCACATTTTCAATTGGAGCCGCCCTCAATCCGTGAAGCTCTTGCATATGTTACATACGAATGTGCGCGGCGCTGAGGCGAGAACCACATTTTGAAAACGGGTTGCCCTCAATCCGTCAAGTTCTTGCAAATGTTGAAAGCGAATGTGCGCGGCGCTAAGTCGAGAGCCACATGTTGAAAATGACTTGCTCTCTATCTGCGAAGCGGCTGCTAAGTTTTAAGTTGCAGGGTCATAAATGATGAGGAAGCCTCAGACAAAACGCCCAGCCCGCCCTAAAAACTGGCCCGGGGTGCGACAGGGAAAAGGTGCTTATAAGGGAAAGGAATGGTGGAGGAGGAGGAGGAGGAGAAGAAGAAGGAAGAAGAGACAGGAGGAGGAGACAGGAGGAGGAGGAGGAGGAGGAGGAGGAGGAGGCATGAGGAGGAGGAGGAGGAGGAGGAGGAGGAGGAGGAGGAGGAGAGGCTGGGCGGGGGCCCGGGGCCGGGCGGAAGCGCGAGAAAACAACAAAAACGCCACGCCCACACCTCCCGCGCGGCCCGCTCCGTTCCGGGTGCGCCCCGTGCCGTCCAGCGGGCGGCGGCGCGTCGCCAAGAAGCGCACAGGCAGGCGCCGTGGCCCTTCGAGGCACCGCTCGAGGCGCCCGCGCTCGCCGTCGGCCCTGCTGCCGCCGCGCGCGCCGCCTCCGGGCCTCCGCATGGAGGAGGCGGAACAGGAGGGGGAGGACGAGGACGAGGGCGAGGAGGAGAAGGAGCAGGAGGAGGAGGAGGAGGACGAGGAGGAGGAGGGCTAGGAGGAGGGCGAGGAGGAGGGCGAGGAGGGCGCGCCCGTCGGCAGCCAGCTGCTGCCTCGGTGGGCTCCGCGCCGCCCTCGGAGCCGCGGCGCGGCCCGGGACGCCCGCAGGAGGGGTCCAAGGCAGTCCCCCGCCTCTCCTCGCCGTGAAGCAAGCAAACAGTCCAGACCCTCCGCGGCGGGGCGGGGGATTTTTCTTTGTTTTCGGCCTCTGGGCGCCCCTACCGGGTCTCGGGGCCGTCAAGAAGCGCATCCGGATGAAAAAAACCGGGTTCCGGGGAAGGCGCCCAGACCGACGTTGTGAAAAGTCACGACGTCGGGGGATTGGAAATTACCCGAGACGTGCCCAGCCCTTTCTGCTGTGTGGCGACTATTAAGGCGAACGCTTCATGCAAAAAGGACGCATTGGGACATATGCAACACTCGGGAAAGCGATGCAATGTCGGGCCACGCACCTCGCACACCAGTGCAACACAGAATGGGGGCAAAAGTGGAGGAGGATGAGGTGGAGGAGGAGCAGGAGGAGGAAAAGGGGAGGATGACCAGGAGGATTGAGAGGGAAGTCGGGGAAACACCAGTGAGAGTAACAGCGCCATGCGCTACATTTGTTCGGTTCGCCCGCGCTGCCGCTGCAGGCGACGGTCGCCTGAGGAAGAGGGGGGTCGACCATGGAGGGCAGCTCGATGCGCTACGTGACGCTCCAGCGCCCTGCGCTCTGTGATGCAAAAGCGCCGCGCGCTGACTGAGGTTAGCCACTCAGGAAACAGCGAGGTCCCGTCTGGATGCGCGTAGCCCCCCGACTCCTCTGGACCTCCCAAAAACCATGGAGGTGGCGACAGCTGCGCAGTTCGCAGCCACCCAGGGATCAGCGAGATCCCGTGGGGCTCCCTCGAGGAAGTGTCGACTCCCCTCGTAGCGACCACCCGTGGGGTTGCCCCGGCAAGGGCCGCGGGAGCCGAGGTCACGTTCAACGCCCTGATCGACGCCGCGGCGCAGGAGGGCAACCTGGCGGTCGCCCAGAACTGGGCCTGGAGGCCGCTCGGGGGGCACGATGCTCGAAGTGCTCCCCTGCTTCTGCAGGTTCCTCCTTCCCTCCTCCGCCTCCTCTTCCTCCTATTCATCCTCCTCCGCCTCCTCCTCCTCCTCCTCCTCATCCTCATCCACATCTTCCTCCTTCTCTTTCTCCTCCTCCTCCTCCTCCACCTCATCCTCCTTTTGTTTCTCCTCCTCCTCCTTCTTCTCTTCCTCTTCCTTCTCCTTCTCCTCCTCCTCCTCCTCCTCCTCCTCTTTCTCCTCCTCCTCCTCTTCTTCCTTCCCTCCGAAGCAATTTAGCGAGCTGGCGCTTTGAAAGCTTTTTTTCCCCCAGCAGTGCCCAGTCCCCCGGGCACGCATTCTGCCATGGGCCATCACCTCTGATTTGTCTTTTTATCATCCCTCTACCGTCGCACGCAGGTCCCTGGGATATTGGCGTCGCACTTGTTTCGCGCCTGAAGCCTTTGTCCTATCTCGGGCCCCGGGAACCTGACAGGTGCCTCTGATTCGAAAGATGTAGCAGAAAGATGGGGTCCGGGGCTCTGGTCATGATTCCGCACGATGCTGCAGACTTAGCGCGTCGTCGGATCGCAGTCAGGGGTCTACGCGTCCGCGGTCCAGCTCTGGCCTCTCGACGAGCACCTAGACGAGATAGTCCAGCAGGCGGCCGCCCTCGGAGCGTCACGTGCTGGCTCACCAGCATACGGTCAGGATCTTCGGCTTCGCGCCGCTGGTTCTGGCCCACCGCGCTTCGACGCCACACTCCATCCACGGCCCAGTCCAGTCCCCAGGCGTCAACGTCCCGAGCCTTTCCCAGCGTCCCGCCTCGCAGAGCAAGCGGCACGGCATCCGCTTGCAAGGCATAGCGTGTCGTCGGGGCCGCCGCCGCGATACGCTATTCAAAAGTTCTTGACTATACCTTGGTGGCACGCTGAGGTCCCCGCTATGTGATTCCCGATGGCTCGCCGCGAGTGCGCGCGACCTCTGTCAGGAGCATGGGGGACTAGGTCGACACAGAGGCCTACCACCACTGGTAGTTAGCCATAGGTGCCCAGTCCATGACCCCCATCCTGTCTAATATCATGTGCAGTCCCATGAAAGCCCTCTTTGCCGGGACACGCTTCCACAAAAGAAGAAACATGTTGAGGCAATACAGTCAAGGCGTTGAAGACGGAACCATTTTCATGGGAGAGGGGTTCGGTGTTCCTTACTTGTTCACAGCTTACCTAAGATGTTCCTTAAGCTTTTGATGGGAGGTCGAAGAGGACGAGACGCCCAATCGGCAAAGGGGTATTGTCGGCCCGCAGCGGAATCATGCAGGGTGGTGAATTGTGTTTTGGGAGATTGTTTACAGTGATGGCCGATACGATCGGGCGAAATGTCGACATCGCCCCAGATCGGGTGCAGCTCATCGACACCTCATTAAATTCGTTGTCTAGCTAATGGAGCGACATCATCCTCAGCCAACGAGTGCAGCCAGCAGGAGCGGGCCATGAGGGAGCACTCAAGTGCTTGAACATTCACCAGCACGTGTACGAGCTTGATGCCAACAGTCACAGGGAGGTTCGCGTTGACATATGTGCCTTCTTGCACAACTGGACAACAGCCAGCGTGGTCTATAGTTGACACCGTGTTGTTTGCGCTGAATGTGAGCGCTAACCTCTGCTACTGCGGCCCCCCATCTGCACAGAAATATATAGACATGTACACGCAGACACGTACATGAATGGATTACCGTTCAGGCAGACATGGTACATCCGCATATGTCGCTATGTTTCAGGATACATATTTCGTCATCATTGGACCAAGCATTGCTAATGCTTTGCGCCATGGAGATCGCTGAGCTCCCCCTCCGCCCCCCTCCTGGAAAGTTTCCCAAAGACCCTCGACATCACTATGAAGCAATTGGGTTGACTAGCCCTGTCTGCCTCTCGTTGTCGTCCTCATCATAATCATCTGCCTTCCTCCTAAGATTGCAGGCTGTTCAGGACAGAGCTCGGCTGCAATTTGGCGACCTACGAAGGCGTCATCGGCGCTGCCGCTCGCTTCGGGAGCATGGCGCCAGCGGAGAACTGGCTCGCGAGGGCCACAACAGGGAGGGGAGGGACGAGCAGAAGGAGGGGAGCAGCAGAAAGTGGGGGGACGGGTGGGGGGTAACCAGGAGGTTGGAGGGAAAAAGGGCAGAATGGATCGAGAATGCGGAAACGGATGATGACGAGGAGGAGGAGGAGGAGGAGGAGGAGGAGGAGGAGGACGGCGGCGACGACGCCGATCTTGAGGCGAAAGCGGAGGAAGAGATGGAGAAAAAACAGAAAGACGAGCGGGGGGAGAGGAGAAGAAGGAGTGGCAAGGACAGGCTTGTGCGGGTGAGCACTCGTACCTTCCAGGACCATTGGCGCCTGAGTCATGAACAGTAGCCTCGCGTCCCCACCGAAGTAGTCCAACCTAAATCCTGGAAGCTTCTGCCAGAACGTAGTCGCTGCCAAGGTCAGCAGCATCTCGCCAACATTGTTGAAGCACTGTTAAAACCTCTCGGGTGACATGTTGAAATCACCTCCGACCGCGTACGCGTAGCTCTTCTGGCCACATCAAGAACGCAATGACCCACCACACGCAGGATCTCTAAGTTGGAGACGTCGAGCCCGATCGGCTCGTGCACATAGATCGAGACAGCCACAAATCCTCCAGCTGGGCCCCTGTGCACATGGCCTGCCGATGCCCTGCCAGTCACCGAGCACCCCCCGCTCGTGACACGGAGCAGCCGTCCATTGAATACCAATGTTGGATCTAGCAGCGCACCCACCAGGAGTCCCACTACCAGCAGATTGCACCGCGTCGTGCCAGACCCCGTGGTAGCCCAGGCCTCAGATTCGCTGTTGCAGGGCAGCGACTTTCCCTGCGCCCGCGTGGTGCTCCTGGACCTGCACTGCGTCGAAGTCGAAAGCTTCGCAAGCCAGCAGCGCCTCCAGCTCGCCGTGGGAGGACACGTTGGCCCTGGTGTCGTGTCCCTCGACCTGGGGAGCCTCCGGCTCCACTGGAGGAGCGCCTGGAAGACTGTCTGGCCCCACGCTTCCAGCATCCCCGGCAGCTCCACCTCTGCACCCAGGCCGAAGCCCCGAGGCACCAACGGGAGGCCCCGTGCGAGCCGACTCCCTCGTCCCCCGAGGTTGCAGCACCTTCCACAATGCCAGGTGCTTCTCCCTCGCGTCATGGCTGACTGAGCGCCGTGCGACACGTCTCGGCATTCCTGAGAGAGCCCAACTTGAGGCCGATGTCGGCTCTCGCGGGGGGGCGCGTCAAGCCCTTTTCGCCACCACGCAGGGGGAGTCCTCAGAGAGCGAGGTCGCCTGCACATCGTTCTGCTGCTGCTGCGCCGTGCTGGAGGTAAAACGGTTGCGCCGAAGCTGTGGCACTTGGGACTTGCGATCTAACACCCGGCAAAACTCAGGCGACGTGATGGCCAGAGCATTCCACCGAAGTTGTGGCACCTGGAGCTTGCGTTCTGGGCCTGCACTGACCTCCGACTCCTGCTTGCCATGGGCGGTCGGCCTCGCCGTCATCATGAGAACGAGGACCCTAACCACGACATCACGACACCGCAATCACCTCGCCCGAGGCAGGGCCCGTGCGCTGGCGCCTGGCGAAGCTCTGAAGGCCTTCGCAACACCTCTTGGCCGCCTCACACTTCGGCACTGCGACACCCGTCGCGAGGAGGAACACACGCAGCACCTCGGGTTGGTCTGCACCTTCACTTGCAGGGACTGGTAGCACGAGGCCTCGCTGCTCATGCTGCACGGGATGAGGGGCATGCTGCAGTGGCAGCGCTGGCTGCGCTGCTCCACTGCTGGCCGCTCCGCTGACTGCTGCCGCCGCTGTCTTTGCCATCTGCTTCGCCTGCTCAGCCTGGCGCTACGCCTGGGCTCGCACGGCCTCCTCTCGCACTCTCCCAGCAGCTGCGTGCAGATCCGTTGCGACCTGCTCGTCTGCCCCGAACGCGCCAAGGACCTGGACCATCTGCTCGACACAAGTATGGATGCTCGGGAGCACCTCTAGCGACGCTCTGGTGCCCTCAACGACCGTGTTGGGCTGTGGGAACTGGACCGCAGCCCCTGCGCCTCAAACGCAGTAACTTCAGACTGAATCGACGCCATGATCTCCTGGCGTTGGGCTTGCAACTCACGCATCTTGACTGGATATTCCAGGGGCCTCACGCTTTGCAACAGCCTTCTTCTCGAGCTCCATGATCTGGTGTCACATGCGCTGGGTCTGAACTTGCAACGGCTTCTGACCCGTCTTCTTCGATCGAAGCTCGGCCAGCTCAATTGCACGCTTCTCACGAAATTAGTGAACCTTGCCTGGCGAGTCTGGTACATGCTCGAGACTGTCGAGAAGCACGCGCAACTCCTTCGCACGCTCAGACTCCACCTCCGGTTCGAGCTGCGCTTCGCTGCCTTCATCGCGAGCTGGTCTGGGGCTGCCTTCGCCTTGGCCACTGGTAGGGTGCCAGCTGAATCGGCAGAACCACGGCTTCGTCCACTCCATGAGTACCTTCTTGTGCCCATCGTGCGGAGGCATGCTGAGGCTGCCTCCGTCTGGATCGCAATGCCCCGACAGGAGCTCACAGAAATGAACGCTCGCAGCTTGGGACGGACCAGGCCGAGCAAAAGACTTGGATATTAGCCGTGGAATTGCGGTTTCCTTTTGTTGTTGGGGAGAGCCAAACTTCTTGAACCGAAAAGGCGATTGAGGAGGAGGAGGAGAAGCAGGAGGAGGACGAGGTGGAGGAGGGTCTGGGCCTGGATCTGAGCATGCACGCTCATCCAAAGCCCATCGGCGGTGGCAGAGCCTGTGTACCCAGGCGGCACCAGGCAGGAGATTTAGTGCGGGAAGGGGGGGGGAAGGGCACAACGCCGCGTCAATTGGAGGTCAGCAGCCGCAGAACCCTGACATCCGGGCATTACAATTGGTCGTTCCACAGTGGACGTGTTAGCCCAGTTTCGGGCCTAGGGGAGATCACAGATAGAGCCAGCTTGACAAATGCCGCAGAAGGATGATGTCTAGAGTTCGGGTCGTGATGTTCCGCGATGGCGCAACTGTTTCGCAAGGTCGGATCCCAACGAACAGAGGAGAGTGGAGAAGAAGGAGGGGGACCGACCACCCGCCACAAAACCAGATGCACTGGGGCCCTTTCAGTAGCACCACAGATGCGGCAGAGAGGAGGGCGCACTCAGGAAGGGCGCAACACACAGTGATAGATGGGCCACAGACAGGAAGGCATACAACTCTTGCGGTGGACTGAGGAGGCATGTTGCTGACGATGCCCCATACACAGGTTACTTACGACAGAGGTGACGGTGGCCAGCCGAGTGTTGCGGACTGAAGTTGGCAAGCTTCCGACAAGAGACGGCATGGTAAAAACCCTTGGCCAATGTCCAGCAGAGTTGTTCTGATAAGATTTCTGCATTCGGACAGCATGTAAAGGTCCGTTGATGTTGGCAGCTCTTATGAATGTTTCTCGGCCGAGAGGTTGTAGGTAATGAGCGAAGCGGGTGGACCTAGAGCAGCCCCAATCAGGGCGTTCGTTTTGTTGAAGGCATGTATCTGCAACCCAGTGGGACGCATTGCGGAACAAATATGCGCATCGCACATCACATCAAATAGCAGACTAGCATCGCCCAGTCACCCAGTATATCATGACACAGCACTGTTACAATTCATTGGCTAGCACTGCATGGCAGCGTATGGCATAGCATGGCATACGATAGCAGCAACATGGCACAGCTGCGGGGTACATAGCATCGCATGGCATGGTATAGTTTTGCATGGCGTTGCACCGCTCGGCGCAGTGCGTAATAAAGCATGTTATACCATAGGAGTACGTCCCGTAGCATGGCAGCATGCAGCAGGACAACTCATGGCATGACAAAGACAGGTGCATCGGAGCATTGCAAGTGCCTAGGTTGGCGTTGCATTGCAGTCCGCATCATTGTATTGGACAGCACAGCATCACGCACCGTAGCATGGCGCAGTAACGCACAGCCGATCGCATCATGGTATACGGTATACTGGTCCATGGCACAATACGCCTTGTTGATGCGACTGTGCTCAGTACGGCACAGCATTGTATTGGTCTGACAGCGCATCTTTTATCATAGCGTTGCCGATCAGAACAGGCAAAGCAAGGCAAGGCAAACAAATCACAGCACTGCAGCGCAAAACAAAGCAACTTTGGGGAAACGGAAAAGCAATGACAGCGACCACGATTGACAGCGGAAATGCCAGTATCGATCTTGGTTATCGTCCATCTTGGTCATCGTCGATTCGTAGATCATCCTCGCGAACCTGCGACGGCCAGCATGGGCCATGACCAAGGTCGACGCCGACAAGATCCCGCGCCATCTTGGTCGTGGCCATCTTCTTATTTCCTTCGGGCAGAGCACAGGAGGCCGACCGACCCCAGCGACCCCCCGGAGGGCCTCGAGAGACTCCCAAGGGCCCCAGGAGCTGGACACCCGAGCGACCTCACACGCAGTGCATGAGTCGGGGATGGACAGACCCCCCATTAATAAAACGTGGTTTAGAGAAACCGACCTGAGGCCCAAACCTGGCAGGCGCAAGCCTGGAAAATAACGGCCACGGCGCCCTCTCGAGAACCGAAAACGGACAATTCACTAATCGACGTGTCACTGTTGGGGGCTCTGTCCAGCCCCGAATGAGGCTTGGCGTCGCTCGGACGTGTGCGTTGTTTCTCGGCCAGGGCCATCGAGGCGCATTCGAGGTCCTCTTGCGAGAAACGACGCGCGCGAAGCCGAACAAAATACACGGGGAACGGACGCCCGAGCGATGGCGAGGAGGGCGAGCACCTCGGGCGGCCCCCGAAGGGCCCGAGGGCCGCCCTGGCCGCAGTGCCTCGGAGGAGGGCAGGTCGAGACGACGGCGGCCCCCCCCCCCCTGACGCTTCTCGTGCGGCCTCCTGCTGCTGCTGCTCCTTCTTGGTCCTTTTGCTCAGGTCTCGCTCTTACCTCCTGCATGGCTTGTGCCTGCAGTTGGCTCTCGCGCACTCTCCCGGACCCCGGACAACGAAACGAGATGGTGGTGGTGTGTTGCGCTGGGGGAGCAGAAACCTCTCGTTGCGAGGAGATCAGCAGAGGAGGTTTCAGCAGCTCTTGGCTTCCAGATGCCATCGCCAGGCCCTGGGACTGTCAAAGGTCGACTCGCACGCGTTGACTGCCCCTGAGCACCGCACCGTGACAGCGCACGGCTTGTATAGGCAAATTGCAGTGGCCCACTGTAGCGACGAGCACTACTGTCAGCATCGCAGTGGCCATGTCGTACACGGGGCTACAGTGTCGTGCGCGGGGTGGATCACTGCCAGTCAGCACGTGACCTCAGTCACGCAATGGCTGATGTTACTATACACATCGCTCTCATGTCGTCGTGAGAGAGCTGGTCCTGGGGAGTCGATCCAGACCTCTGGGGGTCGACGTTGTGGAAGAAGTCGTGACGTCGGGGCTCTGGATGCCTGGGCCTCCTGGCGGCCTCCCGTCGCGACGGCCGCATCCGGCGCGCAAACATGTGCCCCGAGACGGGTCGTAGGGGGCCGATGCCGAGCGGAGCTGGGGCCGGGCGGGGGAGCCGGCATGGTCTCGGCTGGCCTTCTTCGGCCAGGCGCATGAGCGGCCTCTCGCCGGAGGGGCCTCTTGGGTGCGGGCCTGGTGGGGTCCCCCGATCGCGGAGCTCGGAAGCAGCAGCAGTGGCAGCAGCGCGCAGCTTGGCGGGGGGCGCGGGCTGGCCGGGATGTGGCCACCCCGCGTCCCCCGTTCGGCCGCGCGCCAGAGGTCACTCTTGCCCACTCTCGAGGTAGGGGGGAGGAGGAGGAGGAGGAGGAGGAGGAGGAGGAGGAGGAGGAGGAGGAGGAGGAGGAGGAGCAGGAGGAGGAGGAGGAGGAGGAGGAGGAGGTAGGGGTCAGTCGTGCGCGTAGCCGACCTTCCAAGTGCGATTGCCGCAGTAGGGTGCAGTGGGGCACCAGAGACTCACAGGAGCTCAGGGGCACTTCAGAGCTGTCACAGATCGACGAAGAGTGTGCCGCACTATCTCTTATGACGAGATGTTTCATCCTGGCAGGAAGGTGAGTTTCTCCTCTCCAGGCCTCCACAATGGGGTCCGAGTAGATGGGGCCGGAGGATCGCGTCGCATCGTCGATGCATTTGCGATGCGGCTCGATGTCGATCTTGATTTTCTCCACGCCGACGGCGACGGTGCATTGCCAACGTCGCCGATGCATCGGCGAAGCATCGGTGATGGAGCTCGATCCTCCAACCCCATCTACTCGGACCCCATTTGGGAGGCCCGCATCTTCATCAGCCTCCTCCTAGCATGCGCATCGTAATGGCAGATTTGCCAGGGCACACTTGCCCAAACCACGTCTGGGCGTTGCTTGCCAGGGCAGACTTATCCGCGCCATGTTGGGTGTTTCGTGCCTCCTGGCTCTGAGACACTGGGGGAGGAACTCCTAGCAAATCCCAGGGAATCCTAGGAAATCCTAGGAAGTCCCTCCTTCCCAGGACGAGGACGAGGAGGAGCAGCGGCAGCAGCAGGTTCTCCCGCGCCGTGCGCTCCGGAGAGCAGCCGGAGCTGAGCACCTTCAACGCCGTCCTGCGCGCTGTTGCCAAGGCCGGTCGCCGCCCAGCTCCTGCGGGAGAGGATGAGGATGAAGAGGAAACAAGGGGATGAGGACGAAGAGGAGGAGGAGGAGGAGGAGGAGGAGGAGGAGGAGGAGAGGTTCCACACACATGTTGGCTCCACACGTATGGCGTTCTGCACTGAGGGCTCCGCGTACACATGGGGCTCATGTCGTGTGGGGCGTCGCACAAGTAAGGTTCCATGCGAATGCGGTTCTACGCATCAGGGGCTCCACACGCAGAACCTCAATCGAAGCTGGTATGAGCGAGTCGGGATGGCTGGGAGGGGCAGCCGGATTCTTGCGAGTTGGTCGGGAGGGTTGGTGGGCCCGTCGTTACAGTGGACGTTTGCGCCATCGCAAGGTCATTAGGCAGCGCCGTCATACACAGTTGTGCCGAATGTATGTCGCGATTCGTCGTCGTCGTCATCACTTTGTTGTTCATCATTCTGGAGCATGTGCATGTGGCGAGCATGGCCCAAGCGGCCTACAGACTCTGTGAGGTTCGTTCGGCCGACAGGGCCGATCTCGATGTGGCGTTCAATACAGGAAAGTAGCAGTCCATAGTCTTGTAGGGGTTGCCGGATTTGGAAGCACGGTTGGCGCGGTTCGTGCCGCTTGTTGTGCACTTGTCGTGTTCCCGGGTTCGTGCACGGGTTCGTGCCGCTTGTTGTGTTCCCGTTGTCTTAGTAGTGTTGCGGGGCGTTGCTGCGGGGCGTTGCTGGTCGGAAACTCTGAGAGGGACCCTTCGCATGTTCAGCGTGTTGCCTGGACCTGGGTCAGGGAGCGGCGGTCGTGCGTTAAGCTTGGTTTCGATTGCGAACGCATTTGCTCATGTGAGAAGGGTAGTGCCGTTTGGGTCTGACGTGTGAGTGAAATCATTTGCGCGTGTTCTTCCTGCGAAGACTTCCGTTCGAATGCCTTGATTGCGCAGCCTGTTACCGCCAATTTTGGACTGCGAGTAAAAGTCGGAGATTCGCTCGATCTCATGGCTCGTGTCGACAGACCGTCTCGTTAAGTGAGACATGAGCACAATTGTCTTGTTTGCTTCAGCCCGTTCTTCCCTCGCAGTTGCATCGTGTTTCAGCGCTAATGTCGAATCCCGATATCTAGCGGACGCACACAGAATTTACACACTTGCATGCTGGCGTGCGTGCACAAGTTGATTCACAATGTTTTGCTCTGGCTGTAGGATGGGTCGGTGCACGACGCCGAGAAGTGGTTCAGGAAGGCTTTGGCGTCCAGCATCGAGCCCGATGTCGAGACTTTCAACTGCATGGTCCAAACAGCTGCCAGATGCAGTGATCCGCTCGCCGCTGAGAACTGGTTCACGTTGATCAGCGAAGGGCACGCAAAGTAGCATTGCACATGACTGGGCACGTGGAGGCAGTTCCATCGATCCGCAGGTGGGCAGAATTAGGACGACGCTGCGCATTGCAAGTGTCAGGTGCAGCACTGTGTACAGGTGGCACTTCGGTTGATAACAACCCCCAGCTTTGGAAGGGGTACCCTTATTTTCTTCGCGTTCGGGCTGTGGCGAATGTTGCATACGCGTGGGTGTGTTTCAAAAACTGTCTTGCCAGTCGTTTCCCCCCTCCTCGGCCGCCAGAGTTAAAGGTTCACTGTGGCGTTGGGGCCATCGCTTTCGTCAAACTCTAGTTGCAAGGACTGGGACTCCGCTCTCTGACGGTCGAATCCTTTTGGTAGAGTTGTACAGAAAAAATCGTTTCGTTCCCGAGCATTACGACGCAGTGTCGACGCGCGTCGTCGCAAATGTATTCTCTTGGTGACGGTGATGGGAGCAATGATCGGTTCGACAGGGTCCCGCGGTTGTCTACAAGAACCGTTCCAAGGAGTTGGCCAAAGTTTTGTTTAGAAAGGTATGTTCGCCAGCGTAGACCCGGGACGGTGTGTCCCTAGACATCGATGTTGTGGAAGTTGTATGGTATTATCTATGTTGTGCAATATACGTTGTGCAACCGATGTGGCGCAATACATGTAATGCAATATATATATGGTGTGCACTATGTTGTGCGCGTGGTGCAGTCCATGTGGTGCATCCTATGCGAATCAAAATCGGTTGTGCAAGGTACGTGGTGCAGTCTAAGTGGTGCCATGGTTGTGGTGCAACCTATGTTGTGCAATCTACGTTGTGCAATTCGCGTGGTGCATTATGTGTTGTACACCCTGCGTGGTGCATGCTAAACCATGCAATCGGTCTGGTGCAACCTGTATGGTCCTACCAATATTGTACAACCGATGTGGTGCGGACCAAGAGTGCAATATATGTGGTGGAACCTGTATTATTCACCCTATGCGGTGCAACGTATGTTGTGCAGTCTATGCCGTGGAAGATTAGTTGCACATTCGGTGTGGAGCAATCTATGTTGTGCAACCCAGGTGGTGCAATCTACGCAGTGCAAGTTAAGTTTCGCACGTTATGTAGTGAACTATATGTGGTGCGATATATGCGGTGCAATCAATCACTTGCTCAACTTCAAGCTGCCCTCTCCACTGCTCGTGCAAACATCCCACCCTCCCACCCGCAACTTGGACGCAAGACTTCTTCAGACCGCGACGGTGGGTACCCAATGGCACTTGGCAACGACACCGACGCCGACGACGACAGCGACGACGACGACGACGACGACGCCGCCGACACCGACTACGACGACGACACCGACGACGACGACGACGACGACGACACCGACGACGACGACGATGACGCCGACAACGACGACGACGACGACGACGATTACAACGCTGACGCCGACGACGACGACGCCGACGACGACGACGACGCCGACGAAGACGACGACGACGACGACGATGACGACGACGACGTCGCAAACGAAGACGACGACGACGACGAGGGAGGAGGGAGGACGACGACGACGACGACAACGACGAGGGAGGAGGGAGGACGGCGACGACGCGAACGACGAAGAAGGAGGGAGGACGGCGACGCCGACGACGACACCGACGAGGGAGGAGGGAAGACGACGACGACGACGACGAGACGCCGACGACGGACGACGACGACGACGAGGGAGGAGGAGGAAGGACGACCACGGCGACAACGACGACGGAAACGACCACGACGCCAAAGAGGACGACGACGACGACGACGACGAAGGAAGTTTGAGGACGACGACGGCGACGACGACGACGAGGGAATGAGGACGGCGACGACGACGACGACGCAAGAGCGCGCGCGCACGCTTTTGTTGAACATCCGTGCTGCGAAACCGTAGTTTTTGTATATTTCTTGGACACACGATTTTGAAATCTTCCCGAAACCGAAGGTTTTTAAAGATTTCGGCATGCGCGCGCGACGACGCGCGCGTCTGCACTTTGCCAAATTCTGTTTCAGAGGATTCTCGCGACGGCACGCGCGCAAGGGCGTCCGAAAGATTTCGACATACGCGCGCGAAGCCCGTTTCGTAGTATTTTTTGAAAATCTTGAAAACCGATGTTTAAACAAAAAGTCACAAGAGCGCGCGCCTAAGCTTTTTTAGAATTCCAGTGTTTCGAAGTCCTGTGTGTTTCTATGTGTGTTTGAAACTTGATTGGGAAATCCCTCCGAAACCGAATGTTTTTGAAGGATTTCGGCATGCGCGCGCCGACGCGCGCGTGTGCACTTCGTCAGATTTGTTGCAAGGGATTCCTGGACACTTCATAAACGAGTGTGCGCGCATAGTTTGTTTTGCAGAGGATGGCGGGGGGGGGCGATACCGGCCTGGCTGGGACAGTACGAATTCATATTTGGGATGGACGAGCGTGCAGAGTCATGCGTAAATTGCAATACGAAAAGGTGTACGGTTAA